TGAGAAAATCGATTTGAAATTTTTACGTCAGGTGACGTTTGGGGTCGTCTCATTCGGAAAGGTAATAAACTTTTCCTTGAACTACTCATTGTATATGGACGTTCGGATGACAAACGATTAGCTTCATAATGTGCTTGAGACATGTTTTATCTATAAAAAATGATCATCTTTTTTTAAAGTGCAATGCACAATAGAAATACGAGTGAAGAGACAAAACGGACGTTCTCCTGAGATCTATGAAAATCAAAAGATAAGAAAAAGAAAAAAATTGTTCATGGATTAAGAAAAGACACTTGTCGTGAGTGCTGTTGATCATCGTTAAATGATAAATGTTTTTGTTCATATTGTTTTTGAAAATATTTATCCACAATACTATTTGCATCTTCAACTTCAATTGAATTTTTTACACAATTACGAATTTGTTCCCAAAGATCTTCTGAAAATTTTACTTTCGGATCAATATCAGCGACTTTTTTTCGAAATGGTTCAGGTGACCAAGCATTCCATATACGCATTGTACGATCCAATGAAACAGTAATATATTGATTTCTTTCCGGAATAAACAAAATATCTCTTTAAAGAAAAAAATAAAATAAAACTAAACAATAAAATTTTTTCTATGTTCAAATTTCTATACCGAACAACATCTGTATGCCCCTCATTAGTTTGTACACATGTATATTCTTCCATATCAAATACTTTTAATGTATCTTGAGTACCAATTAATAGTGCTTTTTGAACATCATCAATAGCTATTGTATGTATACTTCCTCGAACATTAATTGCTTGTTTAAATTCACCGTTTGTTTCCTAAACAAAAAATAATTTCAATATTATTATTTAGTAAAAACAAAAAAAATAGATAATATATCAATCACCCATATTCGAATTTCTCCATTTTCCATTCCAGTAACCCATTGATTTGTTATAAAATTCCATTTAACACAAGTAACTTCTGAATCAATTGGTGCTTGAAGTTTATACATAAGATCCATTTCAGAACCTCGTGGAGAAAATTTTCGAACATAAACACACATTTCACTCGAAGCATAAGCAAAATATTTCAATGATGGACTATAATCCATATCATGAATATTTCCAGACGCTGCTGCATTTCCTTCGTCTACATGTTCTGCTTTTGAATTAGAATAGAATGAAAAAAGAATAAAATGAGTTAAGTCCCATATATATATACGTCGATCCCATCCAGAACTAAGTAAATATACACCACCAAATGATTCAACATCATCGACAAGTGCTAATGAAGTAACAAGACTTTCGTGTTCACTAAATATTTTACGTAATGTAAAACCAACAACACGATTTGCAACTTCAGCACCTTCTATATAAAAAGAAACAAACAACGTTCATCAAGACTCAATTAATTTGATCCTAGATTGACAGGATAGATATATGCATATAGGCGCATCTACGTATAAACATGCATTAAGTAAAATACTAGATAAATGAAATAAAAAAAAATTGATTTCGAATATGCTATATTTGTCTAATCAAGTACAGTTTACATTCGCAATATTATTGATTTTTTCTAAAAAGACTTTTGTTGTTTCACATTGTTCTTCAGACTTTATTTTCAATTTCAAATCATAACTGAGTACACTGAATGAAGACTGTATCTCATTCACCTGGAGTATTCAAATCATGTGATATTAGTTTATCATAATCTTATGAGCAGAGTCACTCTCTAAGCTACAAATAGATATAAAGAAATTCCCGTTTCTACACTTTATCCTTTCGATCTAAGAAATATTAAAGATATGAATACCTTCTGGAAGATGATTAAGATTATTTGATTGATCACGTAATGTAGTTAATGCTTTTAATGCTTCCAAATCGAATCCCCAAACATAAATATTTCTATCTTCACTAGCTGCTATAATTAAATCAAATTTTTCAACAAATAATATTCGAAGAATTGATTTTCCTGTTGCTGTTTTTTTTATATTGTTTAACGTATTTGAATCATTTTTTTTCTGTAAATGAGCATATTGTGATACATAACCGCCAATACCACGTTCTTTTTCACGTAGTTTAGCTGCAGAACGTGAACGTACATAATATGCTGGTAAACGTTCTTCAACTGTTTTAATACGATTAGCAGATGCTACTCGTTTTTGATTTGTTTCTAATTCTTTGTTATTGTTTTTTTTATTATTAGTATTAGCAGTATTTTTCGCATCTCCCAATGATATAGCATGAACCATGACATCACTTAAATTTTTTTTACCCTCAAATTTAAGTAAACGTTCACTTGAATACATTATTTGATTCGATTGCATTTGTTCCCATTTGTATACATTACCTATTTCAATAAAAGAAAAAAGAAAAGAAATAAATCAATTTCATAATCTATTTTACGTTATTTATTTAGTGTTTAACAAAGAAAAAAACAAACACACAAAATATTTTGTTTTGGATATCTAAGCTCACCTTCTGAATCTCCTGTAAACATCTAATTAGATAATCATAATAAGCATAAAAATATTATAATTAACATGCAGATCATATTTTTTTTTGTTTTTTTCTTACCAATATTGGTGATTTTTTTGTGTAACAAACACTTTCTAATGGTGATTTTACTTTCAAACATGATATACAACCACTAAGATAAAAAGCCTTTCTAATCAAACAATTGAAAAGAAAATATTATTATACTTACGTATTATTATAACGCCATCCAAGACATTGTTTAATATTCGTTGAAGCTATAAGAATATTTAATTCTGGTATATATCGAAGAAGAAGAAGAAAATAACTATAACGGAGTTCATTATCTTCAACATTGAGAAACGTATCTTTTGAATAAAGACAAATAAATTTTATTTTATTTTGGAAAAAAAAACAAATATTTTACCAATAAAACTTGATACATTTTCACCATTTTTTGGATCATATACATGAGCAAAACTATTGCCAGCAGCTAATAGATAGAAATAAATTTAAAGATAATTATTAATACTAACGATGAAAAACTCCCATGTGGTGAATCACTTTGAATTCGAACTCACTGCATGAGATAGACATCAATAAGGTATTAATGACTAGAACTTTGTGAGAAACAAAGATCGAAACATATAAGAAAATTGTAATTCAATTCGTTTTACACCAAAAAAAAAAATGACAATTTCTCTACTGCCATAAGTAAAATATATCTATATTCCGCATAAAATTTTACTTAGATTTTCATGTGTCTTTATGTTTTAAAAAGGAAAAAAAAGGAAACATATTTCTTACCAATCCAAACAGTCTTTGTCGCATGAACATAAGTTAATCCTGTTACTGGTTGTGTAAATTCAATAAATTTAAAAATAAGTTTTCCATCAAGACTCCATACTTTTGCTGTTTTATCAAATGAACCTGTCATTAACCATTCATTATTCTCTAAAGAATTTTTTTGTGCTATTAAACATGTTATTCCAGCATCATGTGCATGATCTAATTTTTTTGCAACTGATGGTGAACTACCAAATGGACAATCATATATAATTAACTTTCCATCAAAACCAACTGAATATAATTTATCAAGCATTAATACACCTGTTGTTATATCGTCATGTTCACATATTATATACAATGGTACACTATGAATAATTTGACCAGTTACATTATTTAATTCATATGTGTGAAATTGAATACCTTTGTTTTTTTTTTTTAGGTAAAGTATTTATTCAATAAATAATAATCTTATCAGAAATTTACCTTCTGGTATACCAAAAATAACTTGTTTTAAACGAGAATGAAAACAAATTGAATAAGCTACAGAACCAATATTTAGTTTATCAACAACAGCACCAATTGCTACAAAGAACAAATAATTAATCAAAGTTTCTAAATAAGAAAATAAATTTTTCAATATGAAATTAACCATTATATGTAACAATTGTTGAATCATTGCCACTTGAAAAAAAAGCTCGAGCTTCAGGAAGTGAACATAAAGCCGTAACCCATCCTCTATGTTTATAACAATGTTGAAGAACTTCACCTAAAGATAAATATAATTTTTAATAAAAAAATAAAATTTGATTTTACCTGATTCATGATCAAATGTTTGCACAGATCCATCTTCAAAACCAAGTATTAATTCACGTTTTACTGGATTACTTCCAATCACAGTTACTTTTGAATTAGGAGTTTTTATTTCCAAATAATATTCTAATGCCATTTATCTATCAATAGAAATGTCGAAAATTTTCTTTTCTTATTATAAATTCAAAGAAAAGAAAAACAATATTATTTCAAGCAAATAATTATTTATCGTTATTATTGAAAACAAAGCAGTTTTTCTATAAAAACCTACCGAAACCTAAACACGCTTATTTAACTCTGTGTTAACAAATACCCATACACAAAAACACACAAACAGAGATATACATGGTTAAAGAAAAAAAAGTAAAGAAATACATAAAAAACAAAGAGCGTTTTAACGGATGATCGAAAAGTAAATAGACAAAATATTCATTCATTATTCAGTCTCTTTAAAAGAGTCTGAATTAAAATGTTGTATTGTTTTCGAATATGGATTCAACATTTTTGTAAGACTTCTGGTTTAGGAATTCTTGAACTCTCTTTATTAGTCTACTTTCCATAGAAATCAAGAAAAATACCTAAGTTAATATAGTATCTCTTACCAACACAAATATTTGAAATAATTTTTGCTTCTACTTTAGATACTCATATCGCACGTTTGTTGAATTATTAATTAAAAAAATCCGAATTAATCAAGAATTAAGCAGTTTCAGAATATTTTTTACTGATAAAAATTTATCTCATAAGTGCGACCGATTTTGGATCTGAGGTAGTTTTTGGAATGTTGAAGTTCGTCGAAAGTTAATTTGTAAGCCTCTAAAAAAGCGACTCATAAGTCTTTAAACTCATAGTTCTATAAAAAAATTCTTCAGGCACTTTTATGAGAGACTGAAAGAGGAACGAACATCTGGTCAAAATACTTTTCGATCATCTGTTATTAAACTAAAAAAAAATTAATTCGTTTCTTCTTCATCTTGATTATCATCAGAATCTAGTATCGAAGTTTTAGCCGAATCAGCTGTTAATGGTCGACGCAACTCAACACCTATAATAAAGAAAACAAAATGTGGCTTTTATATTTTTCTTTTTTGTGAAAAAGCAAGTCAAACTTACCTTTACCAGCTTGTGATTTCCATAAACTAATAAACAAAGAAAATGATATAATAACTTGATCAATAATCATTACTTACGAGTCATAAGTATGTTGAGAAAGATCACCTGATGATAAAAGATTGTTATTCATTGATTCTCGGCCTCTATAAAGAAAAAATTTTTATTTCATATATACATATTATAGAAATATTCTTAAATGAATTCTTTGTAATAATGCATTTGTTTAGGACAACAAAAAGAAGAGAAATCATCATAAATGAACTTCAATAAAATGATCATATATATCTAGCTGAAATCATTTTTAATTGATTTTCTTCTCTTGATGTCTTTAAAATAAGATAGTGCAATAAGTTCATTCAAGGTGACACATTCAATAAAGATAGTGCAAAAGAAAAGGAGAGGTAGCATCGGTTGATTTTTTTTAAACTGCATACGTGCTTGCGTTCTTACAGAAGATGGACTAGAAAAGAAATAATTTGTTTTTGTTTTTAAAAACAAAAATATTGCATGTGTACACTCCAAAACCAGATTAAAGAACTAAATAATTTATTCTACTGAAAACTAAAATAATAATAATACATACGAAAGTTGTGGTAAATGACCATTTAATGGTTTTTGTGCAGGATTTGTATGTAATGTTGTAAGTGATTCACTTTGATCATCATCATCATCATGCTGGATTTAGAGAAGAAAAATGAATGTTTCAAAAGAAAAATATTGATTTACTTGAGTAGCAAGTGATTCTCGAGATGGTCGAAATCCTTGTGGAATAGCATTATTAGTTGGTTTTTCGCCTTTTTTACTAGCTTCTTGTAATTTTTGTTCTATAAGACGTTTTTTTTCCGTCACAGTTATCGAATAAGGTCCAGTTGTTGATGGAAGTGGTAATGCACTTTCACTTTCACTTTATAAGAAAAACAAAATGAAAAATAAGAATTTGTTTTTTGTATATTAACTTTTTTTCTTTTTGCTTTTTTACCTATCCGAAGTCGATTTGTTCGTTGTTGTTGATTTTGGTTTAACTATTCGTTGACGAGGAGGAACAGAAATAGTTGTTTG